AACAGGATCTATGTAAAACTAAATAAAATAAAACTATATATTAACTAATTACTTATTTAATGAATGACAGAAAATAACATAATCATTAGTCAAAAGGAGATAAAACATCTATATCTTCCAAATATAACATAAGGGAACAGAGAAATACTTTACAATAGATAGCTGTTTATAGTCTAAATAGAATTATATACAACAGGGTCACTCTTTAAAAAAACGACACAAACAAAAATCCCAAAATAGAGGTTGAGGGGTTAAAAGACAAGTGGAGAAGAAGGCTTTGTTCAAGCTTACCAAGGAAATTAACAAAAGTTAAAGGCACATAATTGAGAAATAGGAAAATGATAACTGCAACTGAAAAAGGAAGGTGATGAATAGGCATTAAGAAATCAAACAATATGAAAAATGATCATGTCAAAATTATTATAGAGAAGTTAACAAATATGGAATTGAGACAAAGGAAAGCCAATACAACCAATGTATTTGAGGCAAAGAACTGAGAAAGGAAATATATTCAGAGATAAAACAGAAGAAATCATGTTGAAATAGAGTAAATTAAAACATGAATCTGCAGATTTAAGGGGTTGTGCTGTTCTAGGAACATTAGACACAGGTGATTAGGCTCAAGGTATAACCCAGCAAAGTTATTGGAAGAAGGGAATATATTGATATTCATATTAGTATTTATAAAAGGGCATAGCACTGAGGATAAAAATATTTTGCGAATCTTGAATTTCACTACAGAATTATTCAATACGAAGACAATTGAAAGTCTGAGAAAAAAAGTATGACTCAATAAATTTATACCTACCCTTCAAATTAGAGGCATTGAACAGACACTGTCAAACACAAAAGATGCTTCCAAAAGAATCAAGTCAATGACTAACACCTGCCAAGCATGAGACGTAACCAGGACTTGATTTTTCACTTTAAAAATTAGCATTAGCTAAAGATAATTTAAATGTTTCACATTATGGGAACACTGTTAGAATATACACAATTGAATGCATTTTTAACCTACTATTTAATCAAAACATATGGAGCCACGAAAAACGTGATACTTAATAAAAATTAAATGGGAGTCTGCATAAAGTAGCTAATTAGTGCCAGGTGCAGGAAACATTAAGGGCTCCTAGGAGAGAGATGATCACTTCAGGTCTTGGGGTAACAGCTTGTCCAAAGAAGGAAGGGTGCAGAGAATAAAAGTATAGGTTTCCTCCTAAGAGACGCTTAGGATGTCTTTTGCAGAAAAGCTGACCTTGACATGAGAGGGTTCCTATACGGTATCTATCTGGTTTCTGATTAAAAAAAGAAACTGGAATATTTCCATTATTAAGTTAAATTATATCCAGCACATTGTTTTCCAAATTTCAAGGTGGAGTGGAGGGTGGAGGTGTTGAAAACCAGTTGCATTATTTTTAAAGTAATTATTTTTAAAGTTATATCTGCTTTACAGTATAATATTCTTTGAATGAATTTTTCCAGGCACTCACTTTTTATTGGACCTTTTAGTCACCTCAATAAAATGCTTCAGAGCATGTTACAGGAAAGAGAAAACTCCACTTCAACTTGAAACGGAACTAAAATGAGGTTATGTTAATTTTTGTGTTTAAACAAAGATTGAAAAAAAATATGTCCCTATAGATTTCTGTTTAAACAGTGGCTGCATCTTCAAAATGATAATAATAATAAAAGATGGGAATTTTTCCAAAAACGTTTACATGCCTTTATACTTACACACTCTTGTGTGGCCAATTATATTCTATAGAAAGAAACATACTTGCGAGTTACTAAATTAGGAAATAATTGGAAGTTTCTATAATGTTGTGTATTGTCAATTTGTTTTTGATATGTTAAATGAGTTTCACCTGATATACTCAGCTTTCAGTTTCCATAGTGGAGGCAATCAGTATGTAGCAGATGGTACATAAGACACAAACCGAAGCAGCCCTCACCATCACATGCAAGGCAGCTGGTAGATTTGACAGTTCTTTTCCAAATTACTCATCATGTTTTGAGTTGCTGCTAGGAAAAAAATGTGTTGCCCATCTCCAAAATAGATGTTCTTTTTTATTTTTAAGCTTGGGAAAGACTTCCAATAGAAAATAAGACAGATGGGCATAGGAAGCAAGATATTTATCCCTATTTAGAACCTTTTCTTCTGTTAGTTCCCTCATCATAAGTTTTCCAAACAAACAAATGAACATTTCAACATTCAGACTTAACTATCTCCTAGGATGTACTTTTGCTTCTCATATAAAAAATGCCTTCGGGACAGGAAAAAGTCAAAATCACAGAATGGGCTGGTGGATTTTTAATGATTAAAGTGGTATTTGTCAAGATTCTGTGGTAAAGATAACTAAGGAAGTTAGATTCCAGGACTCTTGGAGGTGTTGATGAAAATGAACATGAGTAAGTGAAATCTGAGAACACTTTTTTCCATTGGCACTTATGTGATTATTTGCTTTCAGTAAGATTTTTCACATTGAAGACCCTCAAACTCAAGAGTGTTTCTTATCCTCTCAAAAGTACAGGAAAGAAGGAGTTTATTCCCACTGTAAATTGCATAGAGTTTCCAATTCTTTGACTCAAATGCAGATTATAAGAATTATCCAATTTGGAAGCTTACAACGATTTCTAAAAGGGCTTTCCCCACAGACTACCAAGCTTCATCTGGTATGTGATATAATGATTGACTTCTCAATCTATAAGTATTCCAGAATCTGCATATATTTCTAATTTCCTTTTAAAAGCTTTAGACAGGAACTACCCACTGAATTTTCTCTAAATCTTATACATTTGGTACATATTTCTTCACATAGTTTATACTAGCATTGAAAGATGGATTCTCCTCTGCTTTCTATTTTGTAGAATACTGCTTATGCTACTGCTAAGAGTTTCAAAGTTAAAAAACATTTAGTCTACTAACAAATATTAATAATGTAGTTTTCTAGCATTTGAGTATTTACTTGATTCAAATGCTAGATTTTTACTGGATTTGTATCTTCGAACCTTGCAATAAAAGTTGCCATATCTATAATTCCTGAATTAAAATTGATGTAAAAAATTGATGCAAAGAAAAAGTAAGCTAATTTCCTCATTACCAGTCTTCTTTGGTGATCCAATAAAAGCATATCAAACATTCAGTTTCCCAAATTAATAATAGTTGTCAAATTTAAAGTATAGTTCTTCATATCTCTGAACATTGTCATGTCATTCAGGAAAGATTTATGAAATGACAGACTTTCCCAGAATAAAGTACAATGTGTCAAGAAGCTATTCTTTAGTTCCTGTCCAATGGGAATTTAAGAAATCATTTCGAAAAAGAATAAAAACAGAAATAAATTTTGAATTGCCTTGTAGGTAACAAATACATCTAATACTCTGCATAGATCATATTTTCTAATCAATGTATTTTTTATTCAAGAGTTTTTATATATCAAAAATTATTAACATATTGTTCTATGTTTTGGGAACTTGCAAAATAATAAAGATCAAGTGGTCATGGTTTATTGGCATAAAATTTTTATATACAAAGATCTATAATTTAATGTGATTTTTCCTGTTAATTTGCAAGGTTGTTATTTTATTCTTTCCCATTTACTTCTTAATTTTCAATGTCATACCATAAATATGTAAACATCATTAATATGAATTCTTACAAATGCAAAAACTATAATATATTCCTTAACCTTCTAAAAGCATCAATTGTAAAAAGCATGATCAATTAAATAATGGTGTTTTAAGGAAAAAACACCTACAGTTTATGTTGAAATTGATGATAAGCCATAAGTATATTCCAGAAATATTGAAATGTGAAATAATATGTTTCAGAAACTAGAAATGTGTTAACCAATGTTTGACATAAAACTTTTCACATATATGGTCAATCTTGAATTCAATTTATTCCTACATCAGTTCTGATAAGTAAGGACTTTTCTCTCAACTTTACATAGGAAGTGACTGGGGATTAGGAATGTTGAATAACTGACAAAGGAAGAACTGCTTGGAAATAGCAAAACAGAAATTCAGATTAGGAAGCCAAAGTTCTCTTTAGTATTTGCTATCTATTTAAGAAGACATTACAGAACAATAATGTCTATGAATGTTTCAACCAATGCCGGAAAAAGGTTATGAGTCTGGATGACTATATACCAAATGCCAATAATGTCAAGCCAGTATATTAACGAAGCTTTTGAAGTTAGGTGAACCAGTTTTATAGCTCTGTCAAATTGAAAAACCTATTAAAGTACCTCTTGGTACATTAAAGAAGCAATCCATTTAAGCATATATCTATTTATTTACTTTTAACACAATTTCCAAGATTTTTTTTATTCAAACACATTTTTGGATAGGTTAAGCTAAACTTTAAAAGAAATGCAGAAAGTTTATTAAAAAATATTTTATCTTTGTTTAAACATAATTACCACTTAAGCAAGCACAAGCTGTTAATTTCAGTTTTGCAAAGCCAAATGAAGAATGATATAGTCAAACAATTTTTCATGCCAAAGAACACAGATCATCACTCCCTATTCTTCTAGGTGTAAGCATGATTTACAATAACTTGAAGCATTCTACTAGTTTAAGTGGCATGCAGATAATAAGTGTGCAGCAGTAAAAAATACCCTTACAAAGCAGAGACTCCAAGCAGCTTAAAATGTAAGTGCATAAAATGTATTTCATTTTAACAAATATCAAACATAAAGATCTGATTCACACAAGAAAACTGAAGTGTAATTTTCTCAAGAAAAGTTAGCAGTATATAATATTCACCATTCACATATTCTTTTACATGAAAATTTTACCTATTAATTGCAAAGTAGTAAAAAGTAACTACGTGGTTTAGTAAAGTGATGAAAAAGTCAGAAGCAACTTTTCAGCAGACAGTCCCTCAAGTAATATTTTAACAGGGGTGAACAAATGTATTTCAATCTGTCATATATGTATGAGCTATGAAGCATTGTACAAAGCCATGCGAAATGGATAGAAGGATGGCTACTTACCGACAGGGCGAGCTGTAGACATTACAATGGTGTGGTGAGAACATAAAAAAGAAATTAAAAAAAAAAGAAAGAAAAGAAAATTATCAGAATGCATGATGTGTAATGTTACATTTAAGTATGGACAGTAGGGTGATTTCTAGTGTCATTATTCAAGTATGAACAGGATGTCCTAGCTTGATAAAAACTGAACATTATAAATAGAAGTCTAAGAAAACAATTACTTTGCATGCTGAGATTAACTCTAAGCAGTTTGACAGATATTATACATGAGGTCTTATCACCATCATCACTTACTACAGTTATTATTTCAAAGATCTTTTTAAACAGCCTTGTGTTATCCCAAAGTTAAGAACCTGATGAATATAACCATTCAAGTCACAGACTAGCAAATGTCATGTCAGTAAAAGAAGGCCTCACTGTCTGATTTAAATAGCAATTGGATTTTAAGCATGGTTAGTCAGAACCATTACAGGGACTACAGAAAAAGCCCCTGACGCTGCTTTTCAGCCAGTAACAAGTTAAGATCACATCACTTTTCATCCGTGGACAGGGTGGATGAAAATATAACAAATAGGTTGGAACATCCTTAGAGATTTCAACTGAGTAGCTCTCTAACCACGGTTAAGCTCTCTTCTCTTTTTGGCAGACGGCAGGAAACAATGACTGACAAATTGATTCTTGTTCACACTGAGAATGGCTTTCAAACTGCTGCTTCAACAAATTATTATTTTTTATTATTCCATAACTTTCAATCACTAAAATCAGTTGAAATAGGCTACCCCTTTTATAAATGCACGGAAATGGAAAGAGACCCACATGGGCTTAATAATACTTTCTTTAAAAAGAATATTGCCAAATCAATTTAGATAGTAAACCACTTTGTATAAAAGCAATAGACAAATATAAAACACATGGCCCCATTATTCAAAGGAAGAAGAAATCAATTTAGTAGCATTTGAACTTTTACGAAAACTTACATTTCAAAATATAAATTTATTCAACAAACAAGTGCTTCACTCATATCCCAGTGGATAAAGCTCTAGTGCAAACACAGTGTAACCCTCAAACTTATGACTAGTTTTGTCTTGATGTCTTCTTGGGCATGGTGAGACAGATACAGCCATTGAAACCATATTTACAGACATTCATTCACTCACTCAACAAATACATCATAATTCTAGCTCTGTGGAATCTTTGAAACTGTACTGGAACTCTTCTCTACAAGATTCATGATCTTAGACACAATTATTATTTAATTATTTAAATATTATTTAATTATTATTCACAATTAAAAGGGGGAAGATCATTCAAAGAAGAATAAAGCAATTATAGCAACTGAATGGAAATTCAGCTTGGTGAAAGTTCAGCTTGGTGAAACTCTGGTGTGTCCTAGAGTCTTTAGGGGATTTACTACAGCAAGAGGAAGAAAGTACGCTGAACTATACACAATAATTTGTTTTTTTGGAGGGACACACAACAATAACAACTAAGAACACGACAACAGACTAACATAATAAAGTTGTGCCATATTCTAACAAATAAGAGTTTTCAGTTTTGCAAATGTGTAGTAGAAAAAGAACTTAGTTTCTCATTTTTTAATTTTATTTTTCAGGTGCCAATTTAAGCTGCATCTGAAACATCATGTTTCCTTTAGAAACAAAAAGGCATTTTTAGTCTAAAGAGAGAAAAGGAAAAAAAAATATGGTGAGAAAAGGAAAAAAAAATATGGTTAGAAACCATGTTTTAAAGAAAGAAAATATATTTCTGTTTTATTTAGTCTCGGGTAATTCCAAGAAAATTAGAACTTTATTGCTCTAGAAATAGTTTTTGAAATAGTTCTAGTTTTTGAAATAGTTCTAGTTTTCCCAATGAAGCCTTGTTTAGGCATAGCCCATTTAAGCAATTAAAAAAATGGGAAAAACGTGTTTACAAATATGCAGTTTGTGTTCATTTATTTTGGAGCCACGTTAAAAAGTTCTATCAGATCATGAATTACTTGATAAGAATATAAATATAAGGAGGCTTAATGTTGTCTAGAAGTATTTCTTTCTAATTTTATGTTTGCCCAGTCAGCAAAGAGAACTACTTGCTATTAAGTTTAATTTAATCACCATATTTCTGAAGTGGAAAACAACTGAGTAAGTCTGTTTCAGATTTTGATTATAAAACTTTCTTTCTTTCTTTCTTTTTCTTTTCCAAAATTGGATTAAGTAAATATCATGATAAAATTTCAGCAGAAACATCACAATAAATCTTATTGTCTTTGTCATAAAGCAACATTTCATCCTGGGGAAAAAAAAGAAAAAAAAAACCCCAGCAGGTGGATGTTTTCAAAATCAGGAAATTATACTAAACTGTGTCCTTGCATTAAATGGATGAAAATGGATGCAGCCTCTTTGGTCAGTTGACCCTGTTCTGATAAAACAATCCAGAGAAGGGTTGAACATTTCATTTACATGCATAGAAAAATGAGTGTAAAAAACTAAGCTGCAGATATTTTTTTTTTTTTCCTGTTAACCTCTTAGCATGAGAAATCCCAACCGCTTTTCCTAATGGTTTTTAAACAATTTTTACTCCACAGTCTATTATGGGGATTTTAATTCTTTAACCCTGTTTTTGACATATCAGTCAGATGAAAATAAATACCAAATAGATTAAACTCTCTAATGCATCTTTAGGACACACATCAGGGGAGAGATCATTAAGGTTTGCTGCTTTTAAAAAAACAAAGTCTTATTGAAAAGAAACTCTTTCTATTTGTTTTGTACATTAGCTTCAAACATCCATTGAGGAGGAGCATGCTTTGCTAAATGAAATAGTAAACCTGAAACTTTCAACAAATTATGAAAATAATTAGCTGGGGAAGTATCTTAAAGCAAACAGACCACTTCAAATCTCATTCATCCAAACATTCAAGTATAAAAGGAACCCTCTTGCTTCTATAAACAAACAACTCCTCACATTTCTCACCATTTGTTTAGTCAGCAAATATTTTTTGACTAGAACATTTCTTGGTTAGTTGTTTATTTTTTCCACTTATTTCAAAAAAAGTAAACAAACAATCTTTGGGGGAAATATGGTCAGGTGAATTGCTTTTGCAAAGTGCTGACTAGATAAAAGCAAACAAATATATATATATATATATATATCATCACCTACCAGAAAATATAGGTTAACCATAGTGAAGAGGCTTACAAAGACGTTCAGAGTTTGCTCATATATTATCAGTATATATATGTTCAATTGGTGTATGATCATAGCTTTTTAAAGAAACAAAAATATTTTTAAGCAACTGGCTTGCCAATTTTGTTTAAATTTATTCTGGATCTAAGTCCAACCTAGAACGTCTGGATGGAGGAAAATGAATTAAGTGGAAGAGGAACAGAGTGACTGAGAAGTTTGGAAATCACCAATATTTTTCTAGGTATCCAGAATCATCTAGACATTTAGAATGTCTCCTAATAGTTTCCTGGAGGAAGTTAAGTTTTTTGTTTTTGTTTTTAAATGATATGCTGCCCAAATAATGTATGTTAGCTGCTCAGTCATGCCTGACTCTCTGCGACCCCTGGCTCCTCTGCCCATGGAATTTTCCAGGCAAGAATACTGGAGTGGGTTACCATTTCCTCCTCCAGGGGATCTTCCCCACTTAGGGTTTGAACCCGGGTCTCCTGCCTTGCAGGCAGATTCTTTACCATCTGAGCCACAGGGAAAGCCCACATCATACATCATGTAAAAATCATTTTTCTTACCAGAGAGAAGACCAGTCTGAGAATCCCTCACATACTTCTTGCCAATCCAAATTCTTCCAAGCCTTTCACCTAATCTTGTGTAAATTGCGAGTAAAACTGCACAAGGCTGAGGTCTGACTAGACAAAGTGAAATACAACTGAGAGACACGGATGTAAACTTGCAGTCAAACTTCTTTACTGAGGGTGATGGAAGGAGGAGGCATCAGTTGAGGGATGAGAGGCTGAAAGACTGAGCAACGGATACACTTGCCTGTCTCTGTAAGTCCCGTGAGTATAAACAATGCCATGGGTGATATCTACTTGGCAAGTAAGTGTACATGTACTATTTGGTACTTTGGGCTATATAATTTACTCCTGTGGATCAACATGCACCACCAGGAAGATGCTTAATTCATTCTAGCTCACTGCAGGGTTAAGTAATGCTTTCTTTCCCTTATAAGCAATGGCAGGGAGTCTATAAATGGAAATGATTCCATGACTGAGATAGTGCATGACACCCAGAAAGTGCAAGTTATTACAGGAGCAGCACTGACTATTTCAATTATTTAAGGCCAACTAACTTCACAAATCACTCTCTAAATCAGATTTCCTCAATGTGGGAGCTCCTTTGTATCCATTTTTGACCTTTGGAAGCAGTGTTGGTTTTCTTTTTTTTTTTTCAGATTGCTTTTTGAATGCTGAAATCAAAAAGAATTTCAAAAAAATTGTCTCCTAGCATAAAGTGACAATCTAGTAAACAGAAAACCGAGTATCTTTGAACCTAGTGACATTTAAAAGCTGTAATTAGATCAAAACAATGGAAACACAAAAGATTAGTGTAAATCTTTTCTATTTTTAAGATTTAATTTTAAACTGCTAGCTGTTATTTATTAAATAAAAATCACTTCAAATGCACATCCTTTCAAATCCAAATTTGAAAGTAATTTTATTTCAATTAAAAATTGAGAGGAGACAAAATCCAGGCATTTTATGTACTAATAAAACAGTGCAAGCTATTATTTTGATTATGAGTTCACGTACCAATTTAACTGAATACTAGTCTGCTAGTTCAATTATATTTCACACCTTAAGTCTCTTACCTCGGACGGTGAGGGTAGCGGAAGCTTCTACTTTTCCAACCCGATTCTCAGCGATACACGTGTACGTGCCTTCATCTGTGCTCACTGCCTTTTTAATTCTCAGTGTATAGTCGTCTTTGATGTCATACCTGTGTAGAATATGGATTGGATTTATTCAATAAGATTGGTTGCATTTAGACAACACAGTATTCACCATCATTTTTCTCTTTTATACTGTATTTCACCTAAAATAAAACACACACACACACACATTCAGTCATAAGTATAACTACTTTGATTAAAGGTCTTGCTAAAAAGATCAGTAACTTCATATCTGATCTCTAGCTGTTTATCAATTACCTATAATTTAGGTATCTATACAACTCTGACTGCATCAAAACCATCAACAGCATTATTAATACTTTGGCTTTTTCTAATAGATCTTAGTATAATAATAGTGTATGTTTCAGTTTCTTGGTGAGTTATATTTTTTAAGTTATACTACCTTCAAACATATGATTTATTTTTAGGCACCATGAATATAATAGAGCTGAAATATATTAAAGAAGAAAATTCTCTTATTTGTTGGCAAACTGACTAAAGGGACTTTGGCTAAAATAATTAAGAAGGGGTGGCCCTTTTTTAAATTAGCGACATTAACATGTAAAACATCAACATGACTTCGAGTGACTTCTGGAAATGCACACCCTCAGCTCTTTAACAAACATTTATTTTCACACTTCTATTCTTTAACAAGTACACTGACATACTAGTTCAGAAAAAAATTCTAAAAATTTTAACATGAATTTTTAAGAGCTTGCATATGAATATGCTCTTATTAGATTCAAAGAAATTATTCAAATAAAGAAGGTATCTTTACATTCTTTTCTTATCTGCTTTTTCTTCTTGATTTTCACTGATGGTCTTTGCTATTTCACACACACAATTCTGCAATAGCTTCTAGCTGATCACACTGTTTGCCCATAGTCACCACACTGTTACAGCTATACTTCCAAAATATTACTTTACTCGGTTCTAGCTGATCACAACTAACTGACTTTCTATTGCTTCAAGGACCAAGAAACATTTTAGGCTTTCAATGAAGACTATTATAATTAGATTTCTTCTACTTCCAGCTTCAGCTAAAAGAACAAAACAGCTTATCATGATTTCAAGTTGAGGCATGGACCTAATAAAAGTTCTGTCTCTGAACAGCAATGTTTATGAACCAAGCATGACAACTAAACTCAACAATCCTTGCTCCTTCAGCCTCCATCCTCCAGTTGTGGCGGTTCCTTTTCTGTCTGCCTGTTTTGGGTTAAACTTCCACTGATTTACAATGTCATAAGTCATGAGGGAAGCCTTATTATCCATCACTCCTGTTTGAAGCTATCCATTACCGCACTAGAAAACTATGATTATTCTCTCCGCAAAACCAAACAAGCAAAAACCCACCAACAACCCCCAGAAAGCAAGCAAGCAAACAAACAAACAGATTGCTACACCAATCACTCTGCACTTGCTCACATTTCGTATTGTCTATTTTGATAAAGGCGAGATCCTGTCTGCTTCACTCACTGCTACAGCCACAGTCCCAACATAGAGCTTTTAACTTCCAAGAGCATAACCGAGTGGTTTAGAGAAGACTTTGGTTTTTCAGACTTTCTGATGATCTATCCAACTTCTTGCTCACTTTCTTTTACCCACGTGGCCTTTTTCCCCTTGCTTAACATAACTACCCAATTATCACTGTCTCTCTGCACTTCTCATAATTTCAGGGAATGCCCTTCCCTGCAGCGTTCATTGCTGATCATTCTTGACTTTAAAGATAGCCCAGATATTCACTCAAAGATGTCTTCCTGTCCAAACAATGTAAAGTAGTTCTCTGCTCATCAGTTACTTTCTAAAATTATTTTTAGTTGTTTTTATTCTTTGTTTTCATATTTTTGTTACATTTAGTATTTTTCATCTTTACAGAATATACCGCTATCAAGCTTTTGCTTGCTTGTTTATTGTCTTCCTAGTTTTCAAGAGCACGTAAGCTCCATGAAAACAATAACTGGTTCTCTCTTGTTCAAAACTATATACCCTGAACCCCAGCAAATAGCACCTGACATCTTGGGTACGCTCAATGAATGCCTATTGAGTGTATCATGAACCATCCAAAAAATGCTTAAAATTCTTCAGTAGTTCTTTCATAGCATGGTTATTAGTAAACTAAAAGGTAAATTCATATGAAATACAGAACTATATTATATCAAGAAACAAAATAATGTTATTAGTTTTATATATCAGCAATTCTGAAGTGTAGGTTAAATCAAATAAAATATTATTAAATGTTAACACTCAGAAAACTTAATGCATAAATGCTACTATGGAGGTAGCGTTAAAGGAGTCAGCAAATCCTGACCAGCAATCTAGACATTTGAGTTACATACTAACATTATAAATTTCTGTACATAAATTAGTAACATGAAAAACAAAGCTCTTTGCACTAAAATAAATGAAATAATTCTAGAAGACTATTTTAAACAAATGTGAAGACCACAGGAGAACCAAGTAAAATTTTGTGCTTTGTTCAATTCTTTTGAGTATATTAAAATTATTTCAGCAACTAGAGTGGTTTTAATTACATGTATTATTAAAACAATAATAATAAAATGTAGTTGCATTGTGTTATTAAACATACTTTTTAATATATTCTCATAACAATTTTGGTAGGTAAGTAATAAAGTTACTATATCCTATTTAGAAAATTAGACAATTTAGGCGTATAAACTTCAACCAGAAATTATATAGTTTATTTTTACACTTTTATAAAATATAGAACCTGGAATATAATGTTCAGCTTTACTCCCTACATATCAAGAAAGGAATTATAGACATCAAAATTGAAAAGGTGACATACATGGACTTAAACTCTTCATGTGTAAAAATAATAACTTCAAAAAATACTATTTAAGACTAGAAAACCATGAAGAATATGAATCTGTGAACATGGAAATACTTAGAAAAATCCCCAAGTATCAATATTAAAGAATAATTCTTGAAGCTGAAATAAAAGACCTTTAGGATAAGAGGGGGGGCAGGATGTTTAATTATGAAAATATAAGAGAATACATGGATACTGGTTATTCCTAGAAACTAGAAACCAGCAGATTATAAATTCTGAGACACAGGGAAAAATTGAAAAGTATTGTATCTAGTATAATGGCCTCATTTTAAGATTATAAAAATGATACTTTGTTATTCAGAGTCTAGGAATTCATTGGTAGCAAAAGTTTAGACCATATTCAATACTAACTCTCCTGGCACATTCTTCAACTATATTACAGTGGTTACAAATTTCAACGAAGAGAAAGTATAAAGATTCATTTTTTAAAAAGTCTTGATAAATGATTCTATAGAGGGAAATTAAAAGGATATACTACCCAAATGGCAGCTTCTCCCACAAAATTGAGTTATTACTAGAATTTCAAGCCTCATGGTATGAGTACAGAAATTTACACTAGATACTGTAAAATCCTAATTGCAGTGTGCTCATTTGTGGACTGAAATCTGTATGAAAGCAAGCTGTGTGTGTGTGTGTGTGTGTGTGTGTGTTTTGGTTCACTAATGTTTTAAAATTATTGAAATAACTGATATTTAAAAATTTGACACTTTCACATAGAAATTTGGATTTCAAGGTCTGTCTTCCTCCAAAGTACACACTTCTTCATCGTCATAAAAGTGCCTCCGGGGATCTAATTCAACTGGACAACTGGAGCCAGTGCTGCTCCTTCCAACATGACTGAACCACTGTGCCAGTCTGAAGCCTGAGCCCTGACAAGACCCACAACCCAGGAGACTGAAGCATGTCACGGTACCTTTGTCAGTGTCCACAGTAAGATGCATCTCAGGTCAGAGAAATATAAACGTATAGTCGTGATCAAATCAGCTCTTACCTCCAAAAATTTAAGGTATATGAGGGTTGGTTTTGAAAAAATTATGTGTAAGTAGCTTCAAAACCCAGAAAGAAGTAAACATTCGGCTCATTGCTACTTTCACATTTAGGCAATCTGAGGCAAAATATGATAAAGTTCCTTTCCCAAGGCCACACACGTGGAGACGGTTATAGTCGGGGGGAAAATTGTCATGAGTATCTACTACCAGTCTCTGCTTTCTCTAACAGGTCACGATGTCTCTGAGACAATAATTTGCCTCCTAAAAGTACGTTTCACAAGCAATTAGATGTCAAATATTTCCACAGGTCCAATAACCGTGACCTTATTTCTTTTATTTCTTTCTGGTAATAGTAATCTCATTGATGCTTTACACTATTTGATTGGATAACTGGGGAAATATTAATTTTCCCCTAGAGAGCAAATATTACTAATATAAATTATTATAAATAACAGATCCTTATATTTAAAGAGACCTTTACAGTTTACAGCTGAGATTCATATAAGATTTCACAACAATAAATGACTTAGAGAAAATACCTATTTCTAGACACCATTTTATAAAAGAAGATACTGAAATTGTGGTCTCGAGTTATAAATAGATTGAAATCGATGTCCTGTGCATCAGTGTCCATCCATTTTTCTAACATAGAGCAACACCTTTTTCAATTTTGTGTGTTTACGGCTCTGTGAGGATGGGCTTTGGGCAGGTGTGTATTTCTGCATCAGACTCTGTGTTCAGAGTCACAAAAACTCCAGAAAGTTAACTTTTATCAATATTTTTTCTATTACTTTAAAACCAACTGTAATCATAGGAGGTTCACAAATGCATTTCCCAAAATATATACACTTTAAAATTACTGTTTTATTAAACAATCTAATGTAGCTCAAATTTTCTGATTTGCTCTTAGCCTTCTTTACATTGCTGTTGTTTTGTTGCTAAGTCATATCTGACTCTTTTGCAATCCCATCGACTGTAGCCCACTAGGCTCCTCTGTCCACGGGTTTCCCAGGAGACTGCAGGAGTACGTTGCCATTTCCTTCTCCAGAGCTTCTTCCCGACCCAAGGATCAAACCCGCGACTCCTCCATCTCCTGCATGGGATTTTTTTTTTTTTTTTACCACAGAGCTACCTGGGAAGCCCCTTCTTTACATAGTGGAGAATAAATTTGTAGTAACCAGAGCATACTTTGGTATAAAAGAGCTAG